AGCAGATAATTTAGCAGCTAAAGATTCCAATATTTCCCTCAGGATTGAGCAAGGAGTGGTCCCCCAGTTAGCTCAGTCGGTAGAGCTGGCGACCCATGTATGAAGTTGCTGCAACGGCCCGGGTTCAAATCCAACCTGCGGCCCTTTGCTGCGTGTCATCCCCTCTCTCCGTTTCCTGTCCGTCTCCAGCTGTCCTATCAAATAAAGGCAATAAAAAAGCAGAAAAAAAATATACTTTTTCAAACACAAATAAAAGCTTTATAGTTTGCTTGTATTCTGTTTGAGGGTGTTTCCTCAACATTCATCAGTATTATTGTAATTGATTGTCAGCGTTATTAAGTAGCAGAATGGACAAATAACTTGCTAATAGGTGGTTTCGGTGAAAGAGGGGGGAAAATTAAATATAACAAACACCTAAAAGCTCAGTATTAATATATATTAATTGAATGTAATGATACTAGACATCATTCAATGGAGGATGAAAGATTCAGAAAGATTAATAAATTTAGATTAATAAATTTCTTTAATAAAGTGGATAGGATTGCCGGACATATGCAATTCATTCTTCACTTTAATAGTTGGAGTTGTATTAGACAACATTAAATTAGATACTTACAATGTAAAAATACCTCAACCTTACAGAAGAACAAAATTATGGAGCTGTTTAAATGACCTTTCATTACGATTTTGTGTCTTTATGGATCAAATCATGATCTTGATCATCCATCTTTGCTCACTACATCTACTCCTTTCTTACTCTCGTGTGTAAAAACTACATGTTACAAACTTCTTTTTAAAATTAAAAAAATCTGAAATGATTTTAGTTGTCTAAAAAAAAAATCCATATCATGCATCTCGTTTCCAGTTTTTGAAAATGAAAATGAAAGCGGTATCAATTTTCTCATCTAACTTTGGGCAAGAGTTTCTACTAAACTAGGTTGTAGAACTCACATTGTTCTGTCTCACCTGGAGGACGAGCTCGTTGCATTTTACTAAATCAATATCCAGGACTTTTCCAAAATCTTTACTCACTTTACTCCTTGAGTGCATTGGTGCCATGAATATCCACTCAGCACCACTCACTAGTTTTCTTCTTTTTTTTTTGGATGACTTTGTTCCACACTGTCAATGTTTGTCTCTCACTTTAACTGCTGGCAGAAGCATCTTGATGAATTACTGTGAGATGTGACCTTGTTTAACTTTATTTAATGTCCCCTTTCACTCACCTCAGGCCCATGAGAGGATCATGCAAGACATCAAGGCTCTGCGCTCAAGTGAGTCCAGACAGCTGTACAAGAACATGCGGGCCATCTCTGCAGCCGTGGTGCAGAACGGAGGAGTGGTGGCCCCCCACCCGCTGGGTTTCTAAACTCACCATGCTCCCTATATCTTCATGTTTGTTTGTTTTGTTTTTTTCACTCTTCTGCATCTCTAACCAGGTTCTAGGTCATGTGTGGTCTCACACTTGATCAACTTTACCACCATTATGGCTCCATCACACATCAGTTGCTCTTGTATCTGCTCTGTGTAAATCGAGCTTTCAGGTACTTCGAGTTCTTAGAAACTGGGGCTGATTGATTCATAGTTTTGGCACAGAAATCACAGTTTGAAACCTGTTGTTCTGTAATGAATGCCTTTTGAGATCTTTGCGAATCAGTTATTTAGTAACTTATTTATTTCGTTCTGACTCAAGACCTTTTAGATTTTGGACTGTAGGTCCTAATTTGAGCTGGAGTTTTACTTTAAATGAAATAGAAATTTTTTAAATTGGTCAGTACGACAGAAAATCATTCAGCCCTAGTACCACCTGCCTCTAAACCAGCTGACTGAATGTCTGAAATGTGTGAATGGAGCTTTTATATTTACTTGAACTTTGGCCTTCATGACTGATGGGACTGAATTATCATTTAATCTGTTGCAACATGAAGTTATAGTGTTGGATTTGACAGATAAATAGAACAACAATGCAACAAATCTGTTTTAGGTGATTTAATTTATACAGAAAAAGTATTTTAAATTGATGTTTTTCCTCCTTGGTCTGTACACATCTACATTGTGTTTAAATGTATATAACAGTGTGACGTTAATGTACTTTAATGCCTTTATGCATGTAAATTAAGCTCACACGGTGCTCATCACAGAAACATTAATGTCAGGAAAGAAAACCTTTGCCTTATAAACCGGTCCACAGATGCTGTTTGAAGTTCTTGCTGTGATTTGATTCAAACACACGAGAGCTTTCACATAATTTAAGGGAAGAAAAAAAAAAGTGCAGGTCAACTTTACTCTTGACTAACAACCTCCAAGTTTTTTTTTTTTTTTAGCTTAGCTTAAGGTAGCATGGATCATTAACTGTGAATGTAGAAAATTAACCATCAGTCTGCATACCTGGAGATTTGTACATTAAATGGACTGTATCAGAGTTTGTTAAAAGCATTCATAAAACTTAAATTAGATCTGCATTCTTGCCTTCACATTAACTTGTATTGGGACAAACACTACTGCTTTTGGGTCAGTGATGTGTTGCCTGAATGGATACGGTCACACGCCTTTAGTCAGATCATGTTTTATCGAGAAACATTTTTGCTGATGAAGGTGTTAGATAATAATCTCGACTGTTTTGGTGGAGTTGCGGTGTTTGTGCAGATGTACTTTGAGCTTTTTGGTTGAACAGTGCTATTGGGAATAATAAATAAATGATCTGTTCGTCTGCCTATGCATTTATCTGTCTTTTGGTTTTACCAGTGTAAGATGAATGTTTAATTTATTCCGTCTTTAAAGATACCTTTTGTAAGAGTTTACCTGAATAGACTTGCAATACGACTGTTACCTCTGTAAAGTCCAACATATATGGGAATGTGGTCTTCAACAAACCAAACATTGACCTTTTACTGGTATTTTCCTGTACAAGCTTATGTAACCCTGGGAAGAAAAAAAAAATTAAATATTGAAGCTCAGCAAAAAGAAAAAAAAAGTCCCATTGAAGCAGTATTTTGACCGGTAAACTCACTTCCTATTTCTGTTGTATTCATAGAAACTTGCACTTGGCTTTCACATCTGCAGCCCCGGCTTCCAGACCGAGCGCACTGTACAGGAATGCCAGTAAGGGCTTTACCGCCAGATGGCTGCTGCATAAATGCTCTGAAAAAAAAAACAGGAACCTCTTCCTGCCTTCAGATACACAACTGACTTGACAAGTGTTAGTGTGAGACTGAGACATGATAAGGATTCTGCCAGTGCTTCACGAGTGCCGCTGTGGTTTAAGTGTTGAGAATTTCCCCGCTATAGTGGCTCCGTCTGACTCAAAGCTATCTGATGAAATCCGCAGCAACTGTGCTACAGTTCGATCAAACCGGCATTCTGAATTACCTGGAAGGCACGCCCCCGAGATAATATAGTTTACTTTTTTTTAGTGGGGGTAAATATTAGGAGATGGTATTCAAAAGTCTGCTTTGTTTTGAGAAAGTTGGGGTGGTTTAGGTCTTTTGCCAATTCTAATAGTTCAGAATCAGGTAAAGCTTAAGCTAAACCTAAATTACCTTAAAAGGAATATTTTAATGTTTCGGGAAGTGTGTTTATTGACTTGCAGAGAATAATATCACTCACTCTCATGGGAGTTCATTAAATGTGAAGCTAGGGCTGAGTCCCTGCCGAAGTGGCCGGGGTTCGTTTGATGGAGCTGATCCTGTTTTAATAAAAGGCACAAAAATAATCTTGAAAAAAGATACAGTGTTAACTTCTAAATAGCTTTAGAGGTATTAAGTGAGTGTTTCTAAATGTTCTGACGAGCTAGCAGTTTCCCGCTTCTTTAGGCTAACCACCTCTGTTAACTTTCTCGAGGCCAGGTTCACTGATATTAACTGATACGTTGACATATCGTATGTTTGTGCTTTTTTATTACTACAAGCAGTTTATGTAATGTAGAGGAGAAAAATGTCCTGATTTATGAAATAAATACATTATTAATGGGCTACTCCTGAATATATTTACCACCAAATAATTTGACAATCATTGGGCCTTTATTTTTATTATTCTCTGTTGATTAGTTAAAAGCTTTTAATGCTAAATAACCAGTCTCTGCAGGAAGTTGCGATGTTGCAACAATTAACATATGCAATCCCATGAATTCTGCGCAACTTTTCATCAAATCTGAAATCATGCATCATAGCCCCCTCGTAAACCGCTGAGCCAGAAAACACAACTATTTTTGGAAATTTTCACTTTCTCCTGCACTTTAATTGTAAACAAATCCTAAAGACACTACAAAATGCAAAGAAAAGCTGCTGTGAAATCGGGCATTTTAGGCTGCAACAAATCCTGCAAAATCCTGGAGGGAGTCAATAACAAATGTGGGAATTTTCTGAACTAACAAGATGATGGCTGCACGTTCATGTGCCCAATCTGTAACTTTGCAGAACGTACAGAAAACTCATTAAGTAGGTTTTGTTACGTTACCAGCTTAGTTACGTCAACTAAGCTGAATAATCAACTATCTAGTTGATTAATTAATTAGTGAGTTGGCTGAATATTAAAACTATTTTGATGACAGTTCAGAGTAATTTGTCATGCAAAGATGCCAAACATTTGATGGTTCCAATGCTTTTTTTTTTTAAAGAATTTGAATTTACTACTTATGCCTTTATTTTGATGGACAGATGAAGATAGAAAAAAGGAGAGAGAGATCAGGGACGTCATGCAGCAAAGGGCTGCAGGTTGGAATCGAACTTGGGCCACTAAGGACTCAGCCAGCATTTTAATTTACTTTTGACTATTGATCACAGGGGACATTCCTCTGCACTAGTACTAAATACATTTTCCTGTTTATACTTAAATACAGTACTTATTATATATAGGCTATATTATATATATTATTTATTATTATTTTACTTGTAACAGAGTATTTTCACAGTGTGGTATTTGTGCTTTTACTGAAGTTAAGCATCTAAAGACCTCCATTCAGTATTGATATTGAAAACAACTCTTATCCACACCCACAACCACACATATTATATTAAACAGATACAAGAGTGATTTCAATCTTCTCATCTAACCCTCGACAAGAGAGTTGAGCACATTTGATGTCGGTTACTGTCTTCATATATTTGTCCCCTCTCCTAATCTCAAGGGTGCTGGAAACATTCAAATAGATCAAGACCTTTAAACTCACATTTTTTAATATCCACAAATTTGAGAACACATGGAAACAACATTCACCAGACGATATGTTTAAGTAAATCCTCCATCCCAGCGAATTTAATCCCAAATGATGCAGGGCTGTTTGTATCGGAGGTACAACTGTGACCTCAACACTTGAGGCTTAAATCCATTGAGCAGCTCCACTGTTTGCTCCTCTGAAAATAGAGCAGAATAGAAACACACTGATGTCCCGACAATGATGCACATCCAGGTGTTGACGTCCTCTGAGGAAGACAGCTTTATACATCTGGATTATTACGTCCAAGGTCCTTTAGTTCCTTTCAGGTCTGAGCTGAGAACACCAGCCACTTATCCAAATGTTCCTGCAGCCGTCAGTATCCTGTCATATACCTGCTTTTTCTGATCAGGCATTGTCCATATCGCCTTGACATGAGTCTAAGTCATATGAGGAACTTGTGATTGACATTGGCCTTGTTTCCTCCTTTTCTGGGACTTGCGGGAGCTCTAGGGAGATGATGGTCTGGGCTGTCATTGTTCGCTCCCTGAGGGGAAAAACAGAGCAAAAAGAACGTAAAATAAAACTGTAAGTTCAGCAATGAATTCACCCGCTCCTTTTGTGGTGCTGTGGTGAAGTCTTAAAATTCCCAAAACACTCAAAAAGTGTTTTATGATCAGCTGTGGTTTCACCCTGAAGTCACGACATCAACAAATGTCCGTTTTAATAACTAATTTAGTCATAGTAGTAGCAGTTAGTCACTGCAATATTTAATGCAAATAAACCATCTCACACTTTTGTTTCAGTCAAGTGACCTAATCTTGCTATTATTCATCCTTCCTCAGAATTCACTTGCCCCATTTTACATGTTGCACTCAGCACTTCTCTGCAATGTTTTACATAATATGAAGACATCTTTCTGGCTATTTAATGATTATTTTAACGACCCTATAATAGGTAAGTAATGCTGTAGAATATGAAGTAGATGTGGGGCACAAACAGACCTACTTTGGTGTCTGGACTAAAATTGCATAATGTTTTTTAGTTTTAGCTGGGCTACAGTCAGTAGCTGGTTAGCTTAGCTTAGCATAAATACTGGAAGCATATGGGAAAGCACTAGCCTGGTTTTTTCTGAAGGTAACAAAATCCACCTATCAGCACCTTTTAAAGCTAGCCAATTAATCAATCTTATTAAATCTGTACAGGGGAGAGGTTACTAGGCAACCGTCAGAGACTCCAGGGAAGTCACTGCTCCCAGCCAAGAAATAGTCCAGCACATAACCACCCGTAAAAACCACAAATTGTTATTTCCACTGTTATATTTTTGTGGGGATAAAGAAAACGAGATATAACATCTTAATAAGTGAGCTTCAGATGTGCTGGTAGGATTTGTTACCTTTGGGCAGAGCCAGGCTAGCTGTTTCCCCCTGTTTCCAGTCTTTATGCTAAGCTAAGCTAACCACCGGCTTCTCAGTTAACTCTTGGCAAGAAAGATGAGTGTAAATAAATGTTGAACTACTCCTTTAACATATCTTAAACGGGTCATAAAATATTATTTGGTAGCACTTCAGAAGTGTTTCCATGTAAACCATGTGTGGAGGTGTGTTTTGGTTGTGGATAACAGACATGGAGGTTTACCAAACAGTAAATTGTGCTGAGTGGACACAAGAAGAAAGTGAAGATCCTAATCAGCTGTCATCTAGTCTGTGAACTACTGCTGACTTCAGGTGTGGGAATTTCCATTAATAGTTTATAGTTTTCCTATCAAGTGTTTTAAAACTCACTTTCACCAAGACACTATACTTTCTGATAAGTCCTAATGGATGTATATTGTTTATAAATGTATGTATATGGTTTTATTCACGAGTTATAATAAATGTTGTGTTTATCCTGTTCCAGCCAGACACTTGTCTTTTAAGCTCTGACCTCCTGGAAAGGCTGTCATCTATTAAATGCTTATTAACATGTAAAAACTTGATTAAATATTGAAAAAGCTCTTTCACCGACGACTAATTAACATATTGGAGATTATTTACTATAGCTACACAGAGTCAGTAATAAAGTTTTTGATGAATCTGAGTAGCTGCAGACTTTATGATTCATTAGAAAGTGAGAAACAAGTCATCATTTAATGACTTGACTATTAATGACACACAGCCAGGTAACACAAAAGTTGCTCTCAATAGTAAGTCATTATACAACTTTATGATAAACTGGCTGTATGGATAAAACAAATGTTAATGGGTGCATCCAGTGGGACATACCGTGTTTTGAGGTAGGTGTGTTCCCAGTTGACGTGCACAGTCCACCCGAGGACACTCTTCAAGTATCTGGAGCAGCAGGGGAACCTGTGACTCAACTGCTCCAGAAGTTCCTCTTTACGCAGGCCGTAAACAACCGGCGCAACGCACTGCGCCAAGCTGAAGAAAGCGAATATAACCACAGCTGACAGCTCTTTGGTCTCTCGCTGAATGAGACCCCGTTTGTACATCATCGTCAGCACGAAGTTCACAAAGTTGGGGAGGATGTACACGGCCAGCTGGCTGCCGTGCAGGGCGATCGTCCTGCACCCGGCCTGGTTGCGCCGATTCAGCACCCCTAACCGCCTCCCCTCAACCAGTATCCTCACGTAGCTGTACAGGATGAGCACCGTGCACAGACCTATGAACAGCACCTTCTGTAGCTCGCCTTTCTTCAGCTGATCCGAGCCGCACTCCCCACGATCCACCACGGAGGTTTTGGAGTCCGGGTGGAGGAAGAGACTGAGGGGAATCACCAAAGCCAGGAACCAGGTGAGCACACCCAGCAGCCAGGGCCAGTGCCCCGCGGTGCATTTGGATGCGTAGCGCATCGGATGGCACACGGCGCAGTAGCGGTCCAAAGCCATCAACGTGAGCGTCAGGAGGATGTTGGAGGCGCTGCTGATCAGGATGGTGATCATGGCCAGGCACGCAGAGCGCACCGGCTTGGCGCGCAGGTGGATCTGGTAGTGGAAGATGCTGCTCATACCCAGGTGGACCAGGGCGGACAGCAGCAGGTGGAAAACCAGCACGAAGCGGGCATGACTCCGGAGCTGCTTTACGCGGACTATGGTCGAGTTGATGATGAGGTTGAAGAAGAGGAGCACCGAGAAGGACACGGTGGACACGTAAAAACGCACGCAGGTGTAGTCCGACACCTCTGACAACGTGGTGTTGTTCGCTGGCATTCTTCCTCAACTGGGTTTGGTTGGATTTATAGGTTGGTGGTGAAGATGAGGATGGGAGCAGTGGGGCTGATGGGAGAGAAAGTTTGTCCGCCGCATGATCCTCTCTCACTGCTGTCTCACTGAATACTGTACTGACTCAATACCATCAACCGCTCACTTCTCTCTCTCTCTCTCTCTCTCTCTCTCTCTCTCTCTCTCTCTCACCACACACACACACACACTCAAAGTAGGTCCCATCATGGAGTCCTCTCTTGAATAACGTTTTTATTCTTTATCCCTACTTTTTGACTATTTGATAGTAGATTTAGAATATACTTTTATTTTCTCTTTTTGTCTTTAAAATTAAAAAGGAAATAGATTTTTTAAATGTGAAAAAATCTTTAAGTGTCCACCAATCATGTCACATTACAGTTAATTCATCCTCTGCCTTAACTTTTACATATCATGTTTACAGATTGCATCTGAAAGTGTGCCACTTGAATCCACACTGTAGGGACAGGATGTCTGACAGCACTTATACTGTATGTTTCACATTGCTGCCGCCTTCTGCTGTGAGCACAAAGAGGTTGCCAATGTGCCAATGTGCCACTCTGGGGAGTAAAAGTGGTACAATTGCAGCTTCTCTGGAGAGTTAGCATCAACCCCTCATGACTGGCATCAAGACACTAAGTGTGTAAGTCTTAAGTAGGTAGGTAAAAAAAGGTTTGAATGATAAGTACAGTTGGATATTATCTGCATATACATGGTATGCAGTGTTAAATCTGTTCATGGTCTGTCTCAAGGGAGAATAACAGGGCCCCCAGAACCGAGCCCTGTGGGACACCACCAAGACAGTGGAGAGGAATCAGTCTCCAATAGAGACAGTGGAACGTCTGTCAGTCTAACGTTGTGCCTGATGTGCCCACCCAATCACATAACCGAATAACAGAATAAAATGTTGTACAGTGTCGAGTGCAGAGATCACGTTGACAGAACAGCAACGAAAGACATGAGAATATTATTAGAAACTGTCAGAAGAGTGGTTTCAGTGAAGTGGTGTTTCTGAAACCATGACCGAAAATAGCTCAAAGTTTGCAGTGCTGGGAGTTTAGAGGATAGTAGCATGCATCAAATAGGAAGGGACACTTCCTGTTTACAAAAGAGAGGAACTAACAATAGCTGATACAGTCGGGCCAATAACTGGTAAATAAAGAGAAGATAGTATTACACCCATAGGGAAAGACTGGGAAAAGGTTAATTTCTGTTGTTGTTACATGTTCAGAAATGTTTTCCAGATGGACTCTCCAGTGGAAAATGTTAAAGCCTTCGCACACCCACACAGCTGCATCCACTGATCCTGACTAGACATCTGCTCAGGCTGTAACTATTGGCTGAGGTCACAGGACTCAATCGACCAATAAGTAAAATGTGTCCTCCTCCAACAAGCTGCAAGTTGGAACACCGTGAACTGTAGAGGGAAATATGTGGGAAGAAGTGTGTGTTTACACGGTCCTAATCAGGCAAAATTATTAAATGTGTGGTTTCCATGAGTGTGTAGGGCTTTTAAGAGAAGTTAGCCACATGCCTGATCCTCTGGACCCCTGGGCCTGGACAGAGTACACCTGTAAGGTAATACATGCATACCATGGCCTTTCCTCTGGCGCCATCTTCTGGCCAAATTATATTTTAGCCCCAGTTAAGACCAACAGTTTCATTATCCCCACAGCCCTGCAGGTGGTGTGGTCGTACAATAACAATACAAAAAATGACTACTACAATAAATGGAGGAAAACTGAATGCTAGACTTCATTTTTTTATTATGACAGGCTATTTAGATTACAGAGACTATGTTTAAAAGCATGTTGTTTGCGCAACTCTTCTCAAAGTCCGTTATGTAAATGTATTGGCAGTCCGACAGATGGAGCCACAACATACAGTCATACAGTCGTGTGTGTGTGTGTGTGT